GCTTCAGCGGCCCGGGGTTTGCCGGCTGGGATCCCGGGTGCGGACATGGCACCACCTGGCAAGCCATGCTGTGGCAGGCATCCCACATATAAAAAGTAGAGGAAGGTGGGCACAGATGTTAGCTCAGGGCCAGTCTCCCTCAGCAAAAAGAGGAGGATTGGCAGCAGATGTTAGCTCAGGGCTAAATGTCCTCAAAAAAAAAAAAAAAGCTTAAAGAAAAAAAAAAAGTTAATACCTGTTCTTGAATAAGACTTTTAAAATTTAAACACAATGTGTCATATTTAAACATGCATCCTCTTTGGCCCAGGAATTCTACTGTAAGGAATTTAGGACAAACTAGACAAGTACATAAAATACAGGTATAAGAAAGATCATAGTGTTGTTCATAATATTTAAAAAGGAAACATCTCAACTGTTCATCAATAAGTAAAATACTTTTGGAATACCAGAAGCCTTTAAAGAGGATGTTGTGGAGCTATATTTACTGTAGACAATTAGTAGTAATAACAATAAAAATGAAATAATAATAGCTAACATACACTGAGCGCATACTACATGCCAGGGAGGGTTCTAAGTGTTTTAGGTGTATTGTATGATTTAATTTTCAAAATCAGTCTATAAAGTAGGTATATTATTATATATATCTTATAGATGGAATGTTATAGAAGAATAAAATTCTATCTATGTAAAATTGTGTGTGAGTGTGTATACAGAGATTTCTGGAAAGATAATAAAGAAAATGTTGACAAGTTATTTTGGTGATGGTATTTCAACAGATTTACCTTTGCCTTTTTCAGTATTGTTTAATTTTTTCCATGACTACGGATCAATTTTATAAACAGAAAGAACAAAACTATATTTGAACATATAGGGGAACACTGAATTGTTTTCCTGACATGATAGTTCACTGTTTAAACAAAGGGTCAACATAATAAATAAATAGCATGTGCTATTCTCTTTTAAAACAGAAAAAGATAAGGTTGACTTCAGTTACTTCTTTAATGGAATTAGTTACAAGAAATGCTACTACCTATGGCTAATTAAAAAATTAAAAATATGGCTCTAGGAAAAAAATTAAATCTAAAAACCACATTTATGGATGATATGATTATATAACTAGAAAATTCAAAGAAATAAACTCTAATTTTATATAGGTAAGAAATGTGTTTAACATATGTGTCACAGGTTATAACATAAATTGATAAAGCCAAATGCATTCTTATATATTTTTATCATCAAAAATATATTACCGAACATGAACCAACAGGGGAACTGATAATCAGTTAATTATAATAAATCCAAAATATCCATAATTTAAGAACCATTCCATTCTTGCAAAGAATCTGGTAGATCTATGTGTACGGATATTCAAAGATATCCAAAATTGGTAGGTGAAAAAACCACGTTTCAGAATGACACATACCGCCTTATCGTACTACACATATTAACAATAACAACAAGGAAAAAGCAACTGTATGACTGGATAGGAAGCCAGAAGGACACAGACCACACCAGAAGCAACAGTACTTCTGGGAGGGGAGTGAGAGGACGACGGGGAGGGCGTCCGAGACTTTCATCTTTAACTCCGTCTACCAACTAACTATAAACCAACTAAATACAGGACTATTGTTTGAACTTTTTACCCTCATGATATGCTCATGAAGAATTTGTCTAATTAAAAATAAATAAATAGGGGCCGCCCCGTGGTGGAGTGGTCAAGTTTGCACGCTCCGCTTCAGCCGCCCAGGGTTTCGCTGGTTTGAATCCTGGGCGCGGACATGGCACCACTCATCAGGCCATGCTGAGGCAGCATCCCACATGCCACAACTAGAGGAACCCACAACTAAAAATACACAACTCTGTATTTGGGGGGCTTTGGGGAGAAAAAGGAAAAATAAAATCTTTAAAAATAATAATAATAAATAAATAAACCAAAACTCCACATAGGTATAAAAAATTAAATACGTGAGTGCTTATCTAACTTAGGACCACATAAACTTCTTCAAAGATTATTATGTAAAACTTTAATGGACAAAATAAAGAACGACACAAATAAATAGAGAATATACCTTACAGCTTTTTGAGAGGATTCAGCATAGTAAAGACGCCACTATTTCCTAAGCTAATGTACTACAGATTTTAATATAATATACAGGGAAAGGTTCTCGGCAGATATGACTAATAGTGAAATTTACCTCAAACAGGTAAGCTCGCCAAATGCAAGGTCTCTGAAGGTAAGAGGAGTGAGGTCCTGGTTTCGGCTGTTGAAGCTCCTCCGTCGCAGCCCTGCTCACTGCCTGCGCTCCACAGAGAGTCTCCCTGGGGTTCACCCTGGGGGGGGGGGGGCGGTGGGCGCCGTCTCTGTCTAAACCTCCATCGTGCCTGTGCCCAGTCACCTGACGACTCCACTAGACTGTAGCTCCTGGAGGGCGGAGAGTGCTTTCTCTGCACGCAGCACTCAGCACAACTACCAAGAGCAGGCATGCAATCATGTGTTGAATAAAGCAAAGCAAAATACTAACCATATAGTTCTGTGTTTAAAACCAAAAAACTGATCAATAAAACTCAATAGGAATTCCTCAAAGGGTTAAAATAGTAGAAAAATTCAACACTAATAAGCAAGAAATGTTACAGTAGAAAAAATCACCAGTAAATATTATTGGAAAGCTGGATATTAGCAAAGAAAAAATTTCTTAGATTCACTGCTCATCAGATCTGATAAACAAATTTCAAATGGATCAAAGACTTTAACATTTTTTAACCATCCTCTTTTTTTTTGTGAGGAAGATTGGCCCTGAGCTAACATCTGTTGCCAACCTTCCTCTTCTTTTTGCTTGAGGAAGATGTTCCCTGAGCCAACATCCATGCCAATCCTCCTCTACCCTGTATATGGGACACCCCATGAGCGGGGTGCAGGTCTGTGCCTGGGATTCGAACCAGCAAACCTGGGGCTGACAAAGCTGAGTGTGCAAAGTAAACCACTACACCACAGCACCGGCCCATTTTAAAGCCTATTTTTAAAAACTAAGAAAGAAAGGCAAAGCGTTTAACCCAGGAGTGAACAGACTGAACCCAGGAATTAGCTTCTATGACCATCAAATAGCATCAGAAACAAGGTGGAAATGTTCAAATAAATAAAACACTTTCATAATGTGTAAAAACATAAATAGCAAAAGGAAAGCAACAAAGTAGAAAAACAAATGGCCAATGCCTGCTATATGAAACCTAAATTATGTATACAAATTCCAAGTTCCCACTTGATAAATGGTTAAAACTAAATGAGGACCAGGCAAATTATTTTACACAGAAAAACAGCACAGACTCCACAGTCCCGAATGATATGCAAAGTCAAATAAAATATCTTTAAGTTTTTTATATGCCTTTAAGTGATCAAAAATATTAAGGCACCGGCCCCGTGGCCGAGTGGTACGGTGGCCCAGGGTTTCTCTGGTTCCATCCTGGGCGCGGACATGGCACCACTCATCAGGCCACGTTGAGGCGGCATCCCACATACTACAACTAGAAGGACTCACAACTAAAATATACAACTACATACTGGTGGTGGGGGGTTGGGGAGAAAAAGCAGAAAGAAAAAAAAAAAGAAGACTGGCAACAGTTGCTAGCTCAGGTGCCAATCTTTTTTTTAAAAAAAAAAATTAAAGTTGGGGCTGACCTAGTGACATAGCAGCTAAGTCCGTGCATTCCTCTTTGGCAGCCCAGGTTCGCAGTTTCAGATCCTGGGCGTGCACCTAGCACTGCTCCTCAAGCCACGCTGTGGGGCAGCATCCCACACAAAGTGAAGGAAGATTGGCATAGATGTTAGTTCAGCGACAATCTTCCTCAAGAAAAAGAGGAGGATTGACAACAGATGTTAGCTCAGGGCCAATCTTCCTCACATACACACACAAAGAATTAAACTAATAAAACTAGGTATGCTTATTGCTGATGGTAATATGAAATATTTTAACCGTTTTGGAGAACAATTTGGCAATATGTAACAAGAGCTATAAAACTGTTCATGCGTTCTAGGTAGTACACTGGGTAATAAGCCATAAGGAAATAGCCCAAATGAACACAGTAATTTATATAAAGATATTCAATGCAGAAATATTATAAGGGGGAAAAACTGAAACCACACAAAAGGAATGGTTAATCAAACTGGTATATTACACAACAGGATAACTGTAGTTGCTATTCAAAGTGGAAGTTGAAACTATGTAAGCAGAATAATAGAAGAAGGTACATAGAAAACGTACAACATAAAAAAGCACATACAAATATCTGTGCTTTGAAAATGTAGGGAAGGTGGAGAAAGAGAAGTCACGTATTGGGTTCTTTTCCTCTAAAGTTAAAAACAAAAGTGCTGGCCCTGACCACCGTGTGGATCTTGAGCCTGTTGTGAAACTCAGAGAAGGAGATTTTGGGTTAAAGATCGGAGCTTTCACTACTGTGATCCCAAACTTTCCTGTGATGAGACAATTTTAAATTTTAATTCCAGTAGTGTAAAAACTGTCATCCTAAGGTAAAAATGATCTTCCCACAAATGAAGTCATTTTATAACCCCTACCTTACAAGCCTGTACCCACAACTGTTGTTGCCACAAAACAGGCAGAGAAAGGAGAGGGGACACACCCAACATGCCCGTCAACACCAGCTCATCACCAGGCCTCCCGCCCTAGGCAGCCGAGCGGCCCTTGCCTGGCAGCAGGAAGCCTTCCTGGCTGAGAGCAAGGTTCCACTGAGCTGCCGTCTCCTGAGAGAAAAGTTCCAACCCAGGCAGCGGAGGGTTGGTGAAGTATCAGCTGAGATTCCGGATTTCCCCATCCTCCCTGTCCCTCTCAAACGAGACATCCTATGTGTCTGGGACAGAGTCTCACCCAAGCCCAGTTATTCTGTACAATAAAAAAGGAAACTTTCTCACAGGCCCCCAGAGCCACATTTAAGGGTCTCAGGAGGTGGCTGTACAAAGAGAAGATCTGGTGAAACGGGGGCGCGCTTACTTCCCGCAGCACATGTGGTGCTTGTCCGGCATGCCCAGGCCCAGGACGAGGACGCAGTACTTCTCCGCCAAGTATTTCTGTGCTGCCTCCAACTTCCTTAGAACCAATTCCATCTCTTTTTTCTCCACAAGGCCCCTGAAAAGAAAAACGAGAATTTGGATTAATTTGGGCAAATGCCTCTATTAATTACCAAAAAGTCAGAAGTATGAACTATTTTGAAAGAAATATGAGTCAACATATCTCACTTATCTTTTCATTATTTTATTCAAGCTGCGGCAGAGGGAGGTCCTCACAGGGCTTTGATGCTTATCATTGTAATCAGCATCTTTTTTATAGATTCTTTACAGTTTATGCTATGTATCCTTAATTTTATACACAGGCAGTCCTAATTTATACAGAACACCTTGACTAACAAATTCCCTACCCTGGTTTCTGAGGCAGCTTTCAGCCCCCTTTCCTGCTATTTTGCTAAAACAGCCATGGAGACTCTTTCCCACCTCAGCTCCCTGGGCTCCTGACGTTCCTACTAAGTTTGGGGGCTCAGTGTCTGCCTCAGCTCTGTGTTTGCTAAGGAGGCATCTGTGGACTACGACTCTGGGAACTTTGGCATCAATTATAACAACTTTGCTTCCCTGTGAAAACACAGCCCCAGTTCCAAGTGAATTGCAAATGAACTTTCTGAAAGAAAATCTGTTCGTAGGCTACAGCATGTCTGAAGGCTAATTTTAGAAGTTTTTGCAGCGAACACGGCAGGAAACAATATTGCTGACAAGGCATTCCAATGATTGCTATTGAAAAGTGAAGTGTCACTAGGTTTTTTCTGCCTTTTAATTTTCAGAAAGATTTAAACCAAATGAAATACACTCTAAACAACAGGGACAAATTACTGCCCCTTCGGATGTTAACCACTGGACTGGCCACATGAGCATTTGCTGTGGGGGAAGGGAGTGGGTTTAGGATAATATAGATACCTCCAAGCACAAAATGTCATCACATGATGACAAGGCTTGTGAGTCACTGGGATAAAATGAGTTTCCGGAATAGATAAAGTGGGTTCTAATTTAAATACCCAAATTTCATGTAACCCAACACCCCCCCACACACACCCCCCAGTGGCCATCACTGTGCCTGCCTCCCTGTTTCTTTGAGTGGCCCTGACCCCCATCCTTCACCCCAGCTTTGCCAGAGCTGCCGGTACCAATGCTCTTCTTTTGCTGTAGAAAACAAACCAAACCAAACAACAACAATCAAGAAATGCCTTGAAACTTTTCAGCCAATGGTTCTCAAGTCATAACATATGTAAGAATTGCCTGGGGTACTTGCTAAAAGTGCAGATTCCCAATGCCACTCTCTCTCCAGGATGCCGGGTCAGTAGCTCTGGGTAGAGACTGGCATTTAAAGCAAGCCCAGGTATAATCTTTTGGAAAAAAAATTGATAATAATTTCAAGTGTCATACAATTGGTCATAAACTTTGACCCAATCATCTCTCCTGGAAATTTATTCTTTTAAAAAAATTATTCAAAATTAGGGAAGAAATCTAATGCACGAAGATATTCAATGCAATTCTGGTTTATCTATTTCTCTGTCAGAAAAACTGAAACCTCCCAAAATATATAAAATAGAGGGATAAAAGGAGTAGTAATACAGCCAGGTACTGTTTAAGGACTCGACATTTATTAACCTAACCCATGAGTCCCTGTGGGATTTAAGCCAGGCACCAAAGTCTGTACCCTTAACCACTACACTATACTGACTCTTAATAGGTAAGTCAGTAAGTCGACAACATACACTGGCTTGATGGAAAGTTACGCCACCATTTAAAACTGTTATTATGAAGATTGTAAGAACCTGAAAAATACTTATGATATGATGTTTAAAACTACATGCATAATTGTGCCTTTGTTCAGCAGCTATACATCCTATTTACAAATGGATAAACTCTGGACAAGAGAGCACAGGTGATTGGCAGGGGGTGTGGGCACACTGCACGGTGGTTTAGGTACAGGCTTTGGACTTCTGGACAGACCTGGGTTCTAATCTCAGCTCCACCACTAACTAAGCATGTAATCTCCAACCAGCTATTTAACCTCTCTGAGCAGTAGCTTCCTCATCTGTGAAATGGGGTAGGGCTTCTTTTTTCTGGAATTAGGGCTTTTAGTCATCTAAAACCATCAAAGTGTATCTCTGATAAACTTCTACAACGCTTCTGCTCTCCTCTCACAGGCTGTAGGCTTTCCTCGCAAGTGCCAACCACCAGGCTGAGATAATATGCATTATGTCATCTAATCTGGATGATAACTCTGTAAAGGAGATACTATTATTATCTCTGGTATACCTCACTAGTTCGACTAAAATCAATTTTTTTCTTAAAGTTATGTATGTCCAGATATCTCAACACAATCTATATTTATTTCTATTATAATAGTTAAACTAACTGACTACTGGAAGCCTGAAAATGAAAACTTATTATAATTTTTTTAGAATCACACCACAGGACCAATAACGTTAAGGCTTGGATTTTTCTTTGTCATACTATAAGCAATTCCTTCAAAGAAAGTCTACCTTAGACCACTGTGTTCTAGGAAGTTTTAGCGTATTTTTAAAACAACTAAGAAATCTTCCTTACTTAGAAGCACCTGGGGTGGTACCTGGGATTGAGCAGGGGTGAGGCAGGGTCTAGAGGACTTCCCTGGGCCCCTAGTGAACCAGGATCCCTGGCTCAGAGAAAGCAATGCAATTTTTCCTTTTCAAACTCTGAACCCACTCCCTATAAAGTGGCTCATCGTTTTCTGAATCTGTTTGTAATTGTCTCCCTTGTTTCCATATTAGACTTAAAACCCCATCTGTATTTCAGGGGGAAAAAAAAGAAACCTTTTTCCTCTGTTATCTATTCCTGTAAATTAAGAAATGAAATAAATGTGTCTGATAGATTAGCAATAACCCTCAGAATCAGAAGACATCATAGAAAATATAACCTAACATGCCACCAAAGTCGAATCAGTTTCTTTTGGGGGATAGTAAGACAACTCTAATCTTTTGAGCCCACAGCTGGCTGGAGCCCTTTTGCTTGCTACATAGAAACACTTCATGATCTCTGGCTGCTCTGCTGTGAAACGCAACCCTGAAATAACACGGATGTTGCATATTATGATGGCTTTATGGAGCAGGAGGGTTTGAATTATTTATTTGGTTCTTTACAAAACTGCTGTCCAAATACATTTATCTCTCCATAAAATGTTTCTCAAGCTGCTTGGTTGTACACAAGGATTTCGCATTTTGAAAACATGCTACAGCAACAAATTGCTGACTCTACCCGCATTCCTAACAGCTAAATCACTGGGTTGGTTCCGCATGTACTGGGCAGGGCAGCTGGGGCACTTGGAAAGTTCCATCTAGGGCTTGCAAAAGGTCACCCAGCCTGAGAGGCATTGTTCTGTTCTGGACTCTGAGTTCTCAGATTCTTGCCCTGTGTAACTCTGAGCCACCTCTGCCTACAGCAGTTACATTGTTCATTTGTCGCCTACAAGATCTTATTTTCTTCTGTGATATGGAATATCATTTTGATCATATTTGTTAATTTTTTAAATTCTTAGGTTTTTTATTAGATGCTTACAAATGCTTTGGCAAGAACTTTGTAAGTATAAAAATCATAGAAACAATATCTATATCTGCACTGTCCAATATGGTAGCCATGAGCTACACGTGGCTATTGAGCACTTACTGTGGCTAGTCTGAATTGAGTTATACTGTAAGCGTAAAATAGACACCGAATTTCAAAGACTTACTACCAAAAAAAGTAAACCATTTCATCAATAACTTCCTATTATTGACTACATGTTGCAATGAGAATATTTTTGAGTCATTGGGTTAAATAAAATATATTATTAAAATTAATTTCATCTGTATCTTTTTACATTTTTATAATATGGCTACTGGAAAATTTTAAATTACATATGTGGCTCTCATTTTATTTCTATTAGACAGCCAGCACTATTTATTTTCACTATCTATATTATTTGGAATATTTTGTTACCAAAATACCCATCTGAATTATTCAGTGAGCTTTAAAAATTGGTGGACTCCTCCCACATAAAATGTTTTAGTATACTCCAAAGATTTAAAATTTTCCATCATTTCTTTACTCTAGACAAAAGTTAGTTTTAATACTGGCAGTGATAAAACTTTAAGGTGCACTACAAAATCCTACTTACACCATATAACTTTTGGGTTTCTTTTCCAGTGAGTTTTTTTCCAAGTAATGAGATAAATAGTACAATAATGCCATGAGGAAATTGTCAAGATTCTTATTCCTATGGGGAGATTTTTTAAAAAGGAAATTAATGCTAACATATTTCAAACATAAACCTTCTCATAAAAAATATACAGGCAGACAACATAAGAATAAGTAGAAATACATGTTATCACACGACTAGTTTAACATTTAAAATTCTATCTACTATCCTCTTGAAGATGTAAGAAATCTGATTTTTGTAGACAAAACTTTTGGCGAGGTCACATACCAAATTATAGTTTTGCTTAAGAATTAGTTTCCACTTTTACAAAGTTTTTATTGTACAAGCAATATGTTTCCATCGTTTAACAAAATGTACACAAATGCAGCAAGTAAAAGTTCTCTCCTCTCATTTCTTTGTCACTATCCTACTCCCGAGTGGTAGCCACTGTGAAGAGTTTGGCATGAATCCTTTCTAAACTTTCTAAGGCATAGACAAGTATATATAATGTCCTCCCCCACCAACACACATATATAAGCATGGATATATGCCTTAAATTACTTTTGGTAACAAATGGGATAATGCTGTATACACAAGTCTTTGCAACTTGCTTTTGTCACATCCCTGTGTAGCATGGACCTCTCCCCATGACAGTATGTATAGATTTTCCTCATTCTTTTAAACAGCTGAATAAGTATTCTATATTTCACAATTTAGTCCTCTATTGATAGATATTTAAGTCTTCTAAAAATATTATAGCCATTGTGCCATAATTATCCTTATAGCCATATCTTTGAGTAACTTGCTAGAAGCGAAATTGCTGGGATGCAGTATATATGCATATTAAATTGCATAAGAATTGCTCTCCCAAAAGATTGCACTGATTTACAAGCCTATCTCATTTGTTTTAAAACTAGAAGCCGTTGTTTTCTTTCTAAATATTCTTACAAGATTTTTGCTGCTTTCTTTCTAGCCCCAAATGGAAATTCTTTCTTTGGCATGCTTTCCTCACCTATACCGTGAGAGCAGGATGAAGGTGAGCATTGCAGATTTTTTTCATGATATTAACAACTACCTGTCCTAGGCTGGGTTCTCCCAGAAACAGACCCGGAGACAAAGACTTGAGAGTAAGCAGTTTGCTTGGGAAGTGATCTCAGGAAACATCAGCGGGGGAGCGGGGAAGTGAGACAGCAAAGAGAAGGAAGTCAACAAAGAGGGTGGTAACAAGTTTGTTATCACTGTCGACAAATGTCTTTCAGGCTGGGGGACTCTGGGAGACATCACAGAGACTTCTCAGAGTTATCCCGACAGATGGAAGCTGGGATATTTATCTATCAGCTCCCCCTTCGGCACAGCCCTGACTGAAGGCTGCTTTTGGGTGCTGACTCCCTGGTGCTCCTAGCTTGCTCTGTAGTCAGGCTGAGGGTGCTCCGGCCATGGAATGAAGATTCAGGCGGAGAAGGTGTTCGCCATAAGCAGGCTTCACTGAATTCGGAGGGATGTGGCAGGGCTGCCAGTAGCCACAGGTACCCAGCTCTCACTGAGCACTCACAAGTGCAGGAGCCCTGTGAGGCACCCTCCCCACACAGCCATATGAAGTCACCATTAGGAGGCACCAATTTTATATCTGAGGAAACTGAGGCTTAGAAAGGTCAGAGGCTCACCTAGAGTCACACACCTAGTGCGTGTTGGGGCTGCCACATGTGACTAGTGGAGAAGACTGATCTCCCATAAATCGGTATATCTTTAATAGTCTATAAACACAGTGCAGTCTTTGTGGGACTCTGACAACCTGCTCTCCACACTCCTTGCCCTGGGATTTTATTTGGGGCTTCTGTGACTTCTGGCTTCCTCTCTTTGGTCTCAGTCTTTGAGACTGAGTCCTGAGAGGATGGCTTGCCTAGAGCCAGTCCCATGCCCTTTCTCCAAAAGTCAGATTTGTGATCATTTCTCAGAAGGAATTCCTTCAAAATAAAGGATAAAAGTTCTAAAGTGTCTCACAAGCATCCCATACCTCATAAACGTTGTAAAAGAACAGATCCTCTGCATCTCAGTATCTTGTAGCAAAAGCAAAGCAACAACTGAAAGGAGAGAAGATGGACAATTGAAAGAGGGACAGAGAGCTGCCTCAGAGGTTTGCACCACATCCCAGACATAAGGAAGAGGAAACACTTACTCACATTTAGCATCATGCAGTGTAACGTTGCCTTGCTGACCTCGTTTCTCTAAGGCTTTAGGTGATTTATCGTCTCTTGAAGCAAGCCTTTTATCTGTCAACCTGTTTTCGAATATGACAGTCTCTGGTAGTTCTTTGAAAGGTTTTAATTGTATTTACTCTATCTTGAGGTGTATGAAGCTTTTACTATAACCTAATGAGAGTCTGAGTGTCATGTATGTGTTTCTTTAATGTAGGATCATTTTGGAATTCACTTTATTAAACATTATATTTAGTGTGCTAGGGTAGGAGGAATACAGACTGCCTGACATAAAATGTAAATACCACCCATCCAAAATAGATCATTTAAATCAACTACTTATGCTGTATGTACCATTTTCAGATTTTAAAAAAAGTATAAAAAGCTGAAAATTTGCTAATAGCCAAATTATTAGAGGGATACATTTGTCGGGATTATTGTAACTCCCACCACAATTGTGAAATAGTGCATGTTCTTTCCTTGATAGGTATTTGCATTTCAACCTAGGATGACAGGATGGTATTTTCTCAGAATTTGTAAAGGCTTAGGCTATTCTGCTGAGAGGAGATATGAGCAGCACCTCCCTGCTGGGAAGGTAAGCTACCTGTCTGAAGCTGGACCATCAATTTCAGCAAAGTGAACTGTTTTGCCTCTTCCTCTTTCCCTGAGATCTACTGCAGATGAAAAACTGTAAGAGAAATAAGAAAATTAGGAACTTAACCCTTTCCCAGAGGAAAACTAATCATGTCATGACTACAGCTCATGGAATCTTAGGATAAGCATATACTACGAGTGGAGCTTGAAGCGAATTTGAGGTACAGTGGTACTCAACTCACGCATTTACAGATAAAACAATCATCTAGAAAAAAGATTAACATTTCAGACTTTATATTCAGCCTCTATGTATCAGTAGCCTGCAGAATACTACCCCAGACAAAACAGTTCCAGCTGGTAAGGTTGCAGTAACTTCACAAGAAACAGAAAGCTCATGATCGGTTTGGAAGGATTTTTTTATTTACTGATTTTTTGATTACTTTTAAGCACCATCTCATTCGATCCTTACAGCAACTCTATGAGGAAAATATTACCATTATTGCAATTTTTGCATATAAGAAAAGTCAAAGCTTATAAAGAGATTAAGTAACTTGACCAAGATACTTAGCAAGTGCCAAAGCCAGGATTGGGGCCCAGCTTCTCCAGCCACAGAGCCATGTGCCTCCCCACCAGGCAATCCTGCCTCCAGAGCAGGCATCTCAGTTGTCACTGCTGTGAACTCTTCTAAAGGCCTTGACTATCTCTAGTCAAGTCATGGGGCAGAGACCTGGGATGGTAAGGAAGAAATCTATCTTCCACATCCGTATACCTCTGTATTATTTTTTTTAATAACAAGAATGTATCAATTTACTACCTGCATAACTAAAAAAGGAATTTGATAGAGAGATACAGGAAGAAATACTATGTTGTTCTATTCCATTCATAGCCCTTAACAAAATACTCAAACGTCCCAAAGAGTCAGACATTTTCTAATGGCTCTTTGAAGTGCATTCTGCTTGCTAGACGTCAGTGTGCAGACTAGTACCTCTTTCCTTAATATAATTATCCTAAACAAGATTACAAAGTTGTTTCCACGTTTTTCCTTGGATCATCACAGTGTTTTGGCCACTTACAAGCCATTGGCTAGAGAACTCTCACTTCACCAGCCCTCCCCAGGGTTTCTCTTCTCTAGAAGACAAGAGAAGACAGAAACACCCAATCTCAATTAACGTCAAACGAAATTGCCGTCTCCTACTCTTTTCCCAGTCCTAACCCTATAACTCAAAGTTCCTTGCCTAATTAGTTTGCTTGAAATGATTTCAGCTGAGAGAAACTTAAAATAAGAAATTTGAAAGGATATATTTGAGACTATCTTGTAGATCAGGTCTATGAACTAATTCAATGAACTTGGAATTATAAAATCATAAGATGATAGAATTTTGGGGTTAGAGAACACCTAAAAGATCATCTAGTACATGGCTGTCATTTTGCTGATGGAGAACTAAGGCTCAGAGAGTCTGATCCACACCCCAGTGTTTGAAACTTGTGGCAGGCAGTGCCTGCCCTTAGCCAATGGTCTGGCATTTACTGCTAAACCTCTAATCCTTATTCTCTGACCTTTGGTCATGCCTTCCCTACTCCACACTTGTCTGAGTGGCTTTTCACTTGACTGAAGTCATCCTCTAGCTCAATTTTTGAGATGGGTTCTCTTTCCCAGTGACTTGCCATAGCTCTAAAGGCAGCCTACGCTCAAGTGCATTTGGAATCAGCAAGAAGCATCACTAGTAATAACTGAAAACTGTCCTTTGAATTACACCTGGGATCGGCTCCCAAACCACAGTCTGAGCTGGTCGTGTACCTTCCTGCAGTCTCCAGTCTCCCCCTCAATCTGGCAACCCACTTAGAATCTGGTCCTTTCACAGACCACATTTCGTTTATGTGCCTTCCTAATATCACAACATGATTATGTTGTTTCTCTTTGCCCTGAAATAAATAAGAAAAAAAAATCATATTTTCCCTCTAGAACCCGTCACTATAATGCAGAGGGCTGGACCACTTTGACTTCCACACAAGTCAGAGCTCTTCGGTGGTTATCAGAGTCTTCTCTTAGGCCATGATGAAAAACAAGAGAAGTTTGGGGCTTCTGGAGATGTAGCGTTTCCTCGGCTGTATGTTCTCAGGGGAGTCAATGGCCTTGGCAAAGATTTCTACAGGCTGCTGGTTCTCTCCCAGCTGGGAGTAGGGGCACTTGAAACAAGAAGGTATAGGACTTCTGACACTGTGTAAAGTGTAGAGTGGCATGCTTCATGGGCCAACCCAGATGTGGCCTGTGAACAAAGGTATTCTCTGACAGATAGAGAAACAAGCATGCATGCTGATGAATTATGCAACACCCTCATTTATTCCTCATGAGGCATTATTATTTCATTTTATTGGTAAGGGAACTGATAGTGAGGTTAAGTAACTTGACAAATGATGACCACCTAGTAAGTGGCAGAGCTAGGATTTGAACCCAGGTCTCCCTCCAAACCACTCTCCATTGTCTCTTCCTTAACTGCCTGTTAAGAAATAATGACCACCCCTTCCCCGCCAGTCGCTGTGTGTCCATATCTTGCATGGAGGTTGCGGGTGTCCTGCTGTATTCTGACACAGCTATCTTTCCCAGAGTATAATCTATACAACTAAGGTAAGACCTGCCTGTGAATAGGGAGCTAGGTCTTCTCTGAAGGGGAAGATTTCCAGTGTCATTCATCCAGGAAAGATGCCAGGAACTGCAAGGCAGGGGAGAGGAAAGCAATTGTCTTCTCTCCACCTGAACTTGAGAATACCCAGAAGTCTGTGAACTCTGGTTGGCTAGTGGGTGTAAAAGGTGGCCTACCCTTTGTGGAGGGAGATCAGCACCCTGCAAGAGATTGCCAGGGTGTTAAATTGATGGGATAGACCTTGATCAGCCCTGAGGTCAAGCTGTTGCTTTGCAAAGCAGATTATCTGGATTCACGACACTCCAAACTCCCTTCCCCACCCCTCATCTGTAGCTGCTCTTTCTTAGTCTCCTTCAAAAGCTTCTTTTCCTGGGCATGCTCCTTAAATGAGGGCCTTTCTCAGGATTCCACCTGCTTACTCTTCTCACTTTCTCTGAGTAATTTCATCTACTTCACTAACACTGATAACTCATAAATTTATATTTAAGGTTCAGATCCTTCTGTAGCCTTATAAACGGATACATCTGCCTATTGGACACCTTCGCTTAGGCATCCTACAGACACCTGAAACTCAGTATGTCCCAAACTGAGCTCATTCCTCTTTAACCTGTATTTCCTACTCCTATTTCCCCCATCTCAGCAAATGGGTACCAAGATCCACCAGGTGTCCAGGCCAGAAAATGGTGTCATCCTTGATTCCTCCATCACCCTCAGCCTTCTCTGCCCACTAATCACTTAATTCTTTAATATATCTTGAATTTGCCTACCTCTCTCTCTCCCATGCCACCATCCTAAATTTAGCCACCATCATTTGTCAACTGAATTTCTGCAATTGTTTCTTCCTTGATCTCCCTGCCTTCAGTCTTGCCTCCTTCCAAACTATTTATCATGCACGTGGTTCTAATCAATCTCTTAATACCCGCCTGTAACTCTATACCCAACCTATGGAACTGCCCGCAGTCTCAAATACATCCCATGCCCTCTCAGGTCTGGGCCTTTACACATGCTGTTCCTTCTGCCTAGAATGCTCTCTCCTCCTCCCCAACCAAATCTCCCTTTGCCTTCTCAACTCCTACTCCTCCTCAGGTCTTGGCTTGGATATCACATCCCCTGGGAAGACTTCCCTGGCTCCCTTGTCCCCTGGGCTTCAGGAAATGGCCCAATTTGGGTACTGGGTCAGGGTACTTGGGTGAATGTGGTTTTCCTCAGCCCTGGCCCCAGCCCAGTGTGGCAGTGGTTGCAGTTACTGATGAGTGAACCCCAAGGACAGCAGCAGTCTCAGGGGAAAGAGTTAGGGTCAACAGCACTGCTACCAAAAGATTCTCCTCCCAGTAGCAGCCTGGAAGGGTCTGGCCTATTTTCAGTAAGGAGAGCAGCACAGCTTCCAATTCCCAAGCTTTCCCGTCTGTATTACTTCCTTCCCACCACAGTCAGTGGGAAAGCTGCTTCTATCTTTCCAAGCTAATCTGTGCTCTTGATCCCATTCCCATCCTCCTTCCTTCCAATCCATCTCTTTTTTCTCCCAAGACAAACAAACTTGAGATGTTCCTACCATTAAAACAAACCAGGGGTCGGCTCCGTGGCCAAGTGGTTAAGTTCGCGCTCTCCGCTTCAGCCGCCTGGGGTTTTGCCAGTTTGGATCCGGGGTGTGGACACGGCACTGCTCATCAGGCCATGTTGAGGCGGCGTCCCACATGCCACAACTAGAAGGACCCACAACTAAAAAAATATATACAACTGTGTACTGGGGAGCTTTGGGGAGGAAAAAAAACATCCCCTTCCCTTGGCACTGGATCTCCTAAAGGCTACTCTCTCTCTTTCCTTCTTCACTGGTAAACTTCCTGAGAAGAGTACTCTCTCTGCTAGTTTCTCCTATTTATCTCAGATTCACTCAAACTGCTATTATCTGATTTCCATCCTACTGCCCTCCTGAAACTGCTCCTCATCTAGGTCCCCTGCGATCCCTAACTTGTTAAATCAATCCAAGGCTTCTTCTCAGTATCTGCTCCACCCTGAGCTCTGACCACTCCCTACTCCAATCCCATTTCTTTTTCTTTTTTTCTTTTTTAAAGATTTTATTTCTCCTTCTTCTACCCAAAGCCCTCCAGTACATGGTTGTATATTTTAGTTTTGGGTCCTTCTAGTTGTGGCATGTGGGATGCCGCCTCAGCATGGCCTGATGAGCAGTGCTAAGTCGACGCCCAGGATCAGCACTGGTGAAACCCTGGGCCCGCCAAGCAGAGCACGTGAACTTAACCCCTCGGCCATGGGGCCAGCCCCTCCAATCCCATTTCTTAGAAAACGTTCTTTTGACTCGGAAGGCTTTGTGTCTCAGGGTTTTTCCAGGTTTTTCCTCTGACCTGTCTAATCACTCTTTCTCTTTGGGTAGCTCCTCTTTCTTTGCCTGTCCGCTATTCCTGAGAGCCATGTGAAGATACCTATCAAAACCTTA